ACTTATATATATATTATTATTGAAAGGTTAACGTTAAGCAAGAATCTTATAATATATTCAAGATGGTTAGTTATATCTATTCTAAATAATATAGTTATTTTACAAGTTATAATTTATAATTTATACAAATATAAACTATATTAATAAATGTAAATGTAATATTCATTTCCTAATAATATTAGAAATTGATACTAAAGAATAGGATTTTTTTGTAAATGCAAAAACTATAATAACAAAAGTAATTGATAATTGATACTATTCTAATTAAATAAACTAATCAATATTAAATAATTTACTGAAATATTAAAAAATCATTTTTCTAGTTAAAAAAAATTAAATAAAATACATTTATTCAAATAAAAAAAAAATTTATTTTGATAATCTAAAATATGTAAAACTATAAAAAATATAAAAATAACATATAACAAATTTAATAATATTTTTGATGATAATAATATAGTTAAACCTATTACTTATAATAAATACAATATATTTGTAAATTATGATGACTTCCAAAAATAATAATTTATAATATATAATTAAAACTCAATAAAATTTAACTTAAATTCAAAAATTTTAGTTTAACATAATTAATTTATAATTAGGCAGTTCCAAGCCAATTCTTTGTTTAACATAATATAGAGGATCCTAATCTAAGAGAAAAAAAGGAATAAAAAATAAGATATAAAATAAAATACATGGCCACTTAGAATTACCATTAATTTTGGCATTAAAAGAGTAAGTAAAAATTTTGGATAATAATTCTGACTAAGATTTAAAGATTTGTCTAATTTTAGCTTAAATTACATGTATTTTTTTTATATAAAAAATCCAAAAACAAAGGAAGGGAATATATTAAATGAAAAATTAAATTAGTGCAGCCTATACATGTAGCCAAAACTTCCATGAAGCTGGACAGGGTTTCGGACTTTCAGTAATTTAATTATAATAAATTATTAAAAACTATTCAGTAATCCATCCGAAACTCCAAAAACTTTATATTATAGTTTCGGCTGGATGTAGAGATTAATTTTTATCATTTTTTAATTTAATTTTGATTTAAAGACGTGGCCGAAAATCACGTAAAAAGGTTTCGGCTACAAGTATAGTGCAGCCTAATAATATATCATATATATATTAGATATATCAATGAAAATTAATAAATTATTTAGCTTTATTTTTTTAATATGTAATTTTTAAAAAAAAAAAATTTGCATATATACTATTGTTAATATAATCAATTACTAAATGATTGATATACTAAAATAAAATACATATAATTTTTTATTGCTAATAAAATGTGATATAAGTATTATTCTTAACTATATATTTATAAAGAAGTAAGTTAAGTAACTTCTAAATTTGCAAACCATTTTTTTTGTGCAGAATTCTCAAGAAATTCATTAATATTATAGGTAATAAATATTTTTCTTAACTAAAAGTTTATGATTATTTTTATATTTATAAATTTATAGTAATAAGTGAATTTATTTCTCATCTTGATGAATAATACTATTTCTCATTTAAATTTATAATTAAAAAAAAACTTTAATTAAAAAAAACTTAATAATTAAAACTCAATTTTTACTTTCATTTATTTTATAAATAAAATAATAAATTATTTATTTTACAATTAGTTATAAATTTTTAGCAATAAAAACTTATTTTAAAAAACATTAATCAAAATTAAGAAATATATATTATGTTTAACAATAAATAAATAAGATAACAAAAAATTATAAAAGATAAAAAAAATATAAAATATAGTGATCACTTTATTATAACTTATTTTATTAGTATCTAAGCTTAAAAAATATCTTTTATATTCCAATTATTCCTATTATGATATATTTTATTTTAATTGTCTTGTCATAAAAATTAGATGTATTTAAAATATTTACTGCAAAATTCATTTTTATAAAGCATTTATATATATCTGAAAAAATAATAGTAGTGAAATAAAATAATAAATGATAAGAAATGAAAAATATTAAAAAAAAAATAAGATAAAAAAAAAAAAAAAAAAAAAAAAAAAAAAAAAAAAAAAAAAAAATAAAAAAAAAAAAGGAAAGAAAAAATGCAAAAAAGGAGAAGAAAAACAAAAAAAATTCACAAAATTTAAAAAAAAATGAACAATACTTATAAATAAAATTACGAAAGAGCTATAAAATAAAGAATAGAATATAATTAGTATTTAGTATAAAATAAAATATAAGAAACAAAAATAAAAAAAAGTAAAAATACACAAATTTAAAGAAAAACCTATTATTAATCTAAATTAAGATTTTTATAAAAATTTAATATTTTAGTAAGATTAATATTACACAAATCTAAATTAAATATGTATGTATTACTTATCTCCTGGCTAATTAGGAATAAGTAAAATTTTACTAGGATTGGATAAATGATCAGCCGAAAGTCCATTATAGTATAATCAATAGTTAATTTTTACCGCAAAATTTCCTAGAAACGGATAAATAAATACATATAAATTTTGCTACCCAGTAGATATAACTACATTTGCATAATCGTGTAAATGGTGCCGATCAGGGGATAATACATATTTATATAACTCAGATTTAATAAAAAATAATGAAATTTTTTTAATTAATATTCAAAAATAACGTTAATAACCACTTCTTTTTTCCCATTACTACCCATCATTTTTCCATCATTTTTCTATTCACTTTTATTAAATGTGATAAAAAAGTTTATAAATATATATAGCAGTTATTTTTAAGTGGTAAGTAAAAGAAAAAACTTAATATTTTATTTGTTTTTTCTTTGTAAAAAATATATACAATAAAAGTAATTATAATGTAAAATAGTTGTAAAATGAATAATAAGATATATACAGTATTTTTTTTTAAAATAACTAATTATATATTTGTTTTTTATCTTTTAAAATTATTTATTAGAAATATGGGAGGACTCTTTCTTGTAGATCTCATTTTCAAAATTTCACACGGAAAGCAGAATTGGTTTTTCAATGAAAGTGCTTAAAAAAAGTTGACGCAAGCAAAAAATAAACCACATATTTAAAGAGTTCAATATTTCAGCTTTACAACCATATTAGTATTAGATGTAGCAGTAAATTATTTTACTGAAGAAATTGAAAAAGAAGTGAAAATCCTTCTATACAGATAAGTAATGCTTAGACATTTTATAAGAAGACTTTAGTTCTATACTGAAATCCTTTCTAGAGGAAAAACACAACTCTTTCAAAGGCTCTAGTTCAAATACAGGTGATAATATGGAAAATAATATTTTTGCCCATATTTTTTCATTTTTCGAAGATTTCTCTATTGGGGCTGCTGCTACAGCTTTTTGACATATTTACCCAAAAATTGCTGGAAACTTCTAGCAGGAATAAGATCAACAAACCCAACCAATAAAAGAAAAGAATGATATGAGTTTTGAACTGGATTGTGATGACACAGATTCAGCTGATGATAACTTAGAGTCTCAGACTCTATAGATATAGAGCATAGTGGGCTTTCTTATTTATCACATTAATTTGCTGATCATTTTCCGATTTTATCACATGATATAAAATGCCGTTACAAGACATTGCATAAAATTCTACATATTAAAATGACTTCAAATAAATTTATTGCACTTTAAATTTTAATCATACAAAGTTTTATTCATTTAATGCATTTTACGTAATTTTTTAATATAAATAACTGGCAGATTTAAAAACTCACATAATAATCGTACTTTAAATCTTGCAAACTAATAAATATTAATAAAATATATTTGCAAAAAAAATTTTATTAGAATCTGAAATAAATTCAAGAATTTTAATATGTACCTTCTATATAAATTAAAAATCCATTATAATTCCTGTTGTAAAATTATAAATAACTCAACATATATGCATGCTAGAAAAATGAATTTATATTTATTTGAAAGGTGAGAATGAGATCTATCCAAAAAGTTAAAAATCGCATTGATTGAATTATTGGTTCATTAATAAATACGCTCAACACATTTACTATCAATTTGACATAAACTCTTGCATTTGAACGTAAATATCTTTTTATCTAATGATTCAATTTGCATGATTTTTAATTCCAAAATTAGAGCCCATTTACATCTTTCAAAGGAATATAAAATTATTCATTTAGCATATGTGTATGTTGATAAATTAACGATAATGTCATTACAATCAAAACCTGACACAAAATTTAAATTATAGTTCTTACCAATAATTGTAACCATAAAACTCCTTTCACTTTATTTAAAGGATGTTGTTTAAGCTTTTAATAGAATATACTGATGAAATTCATAAGTCAACTCCTAAAAAAGAGAAAGAAATAATTAGTTTATTAATAAAGGAAAAAAAAATTTTAAAAATCCTATCTGATACTTTAAATGGTAAGGAGTTCTATCAATAAAGAATTTTTTTGACACTAAACTTATTTAAAACTTTATAACTTACACTTAAAAAGAACCTGAAGTGACAAAATATATCTTTATTTGATTCCAACTATTTTTTGTCAAAAATTCTTTGTAAAGCCAAATAATATAAACGTACTATACTTATTTTCGTTTTATAAGAAGGTTTCAAGTGTTTATAACTTTTGGATTCCACCTCTAATAGCCAGATTCCTTTGTAATATGTTTAAATAAGACCTGACGAATCAATTTTTTTTATCGTCCTTCGCTATTAAATTTTTTGTGGCACAATTAAAATAAATTAGTACAGCTATCATATGTGCGATACATATGATACTCAGCCAATAAAATGCATATCTATATACAAACAATTATGTCAGTATTACATTATTTAAAAATTACTAGAAAATGTGAATTTTACTTATTTATTATGGCGCCATAACAGATAATTTATTAAATAAAAAACTAAAAATAACACATATGCTGATCATCATGTGATTATTCAAAAATCAGAAAGCCTGCTATGTTTAGATATAGTAATTTCTGATAACATATCGCATCAATCACAACATGTACAACCTTTTATAATGGTAACTACCATGCCACTTCAAACACCCTTTAGACGAAAATGTAAAAAAAATAAAAAGCTTAAACAGAAAGCTGAGACTGCTGATTTCATCAATAAAGCCTTTCTGGACCAGAAAAAGCTTTTCTTACAAAGTTCCCTAGAAGACTTGGAAGTAAGCGGATCTGTATCTAAGCCTAAACCTACACCTATAGCTAAGGTGAAGAAAAATAAAAAAGATAAAGATATAGAGGAAGAGGCAATGTACATAATAACGGGATATCAACTAACAGGACTGGTATTAGCCAATGTCAATGATATCATAATATATGATATTCCTTTGACTTGGAAAAATGTAGAGTTATTACACCATCTGGAAGTCTGGAATAAAGTTATCTTCATTAAAGTTATTTGGAAAATAAATCAACTTTGCAGACAAACATGAAATAATGGAGCCTGGTTAGCACCATTAGAAAATATTCCAGTGAAGTAGTTTCCTACCACTTAGTCTCTTTATGAAAGAAAAGAAAGAGAGAGATTTCAAGTAGCTCTCTATAACATTTTAGATTTAATGACAGCTGCAACACTGTTTTATCAAAACCAAACCTATCCAACTTTAACGGTAATTAACAGTTTTAAAGCATTTAAAGTTATTACAACAGAAGAAAAGAAGCACATTGTAATTTACCTGGAAAAATGAGAAGATCTTAACAATCTTATAGGTAAAATTTACAATATTGATGGCAATACTCTGGATTAATGCTGCCACGCTTCTTCATACTTTACCCAGAAATCTAAGGATAAATTAAGTAACAAAGATAAGTCCAAATTTCCCAACAACTTTTAGAAGAAGAATTCCAACCTTAAGGATAAAGCCACAGGTACCAACAGAATTCCCTAAATACTTGAACACAGATTGATCAAGAAAAAAAGAAAGACAACTCAAGAGATACTTCGAACCAGAACTGCAAATCTGAAGATAAAAAGGATATCTTTAAGCGAAAACTTTATAAAAAAGTAACAGAATTAAAGGAGATGCTAAAGAAGCTAACAGACAGGATCTGAAATGGGCAATCTACTTTTGGTCTATATATGAAGAGTTAGTTTATTATTTTTTGTGAAGGATATAGTTTTAATTTTTATTTTTTTTAGATAAAAATTTTTGTTTCTTTCAGAATCTTTATTTACTCTGTTTAGTTAGTATATGAATTTAGAATAGAGTTTTTCTGCTTTTACTGCTAGCTACTGATTCCTTTTTTTTAGCATAGTGTGTTAACTCATGGGATATATTTGCATGCGAGTAGGCAACTTTTTTGATCATTTAGAGTATATCAAAGATCTAGTCTTCTCTTTGTATTGATATATTACGATTCTTTTGAGTATAATAAATAAAAAAAAAAATTATTTTATTAGATTTATTCTACTAAAATTCTTAAATGACAAATAAAATCTTTTAAATAAAGTAAAAGAATTTGGAATTATTTTATGAAGGCATTTTTTGGTAAGAAATAAAATTTCAAATCAGACTTTATGCAGATGACAAAATCGTGTATTATTATTACTAAAGATATACTAACATCATTATTTTACAGTTCTATTGTAAGAATTAAAAATCAGGAAAATTGGATCACTGGATGAGACGTAGTGCTCTAAATGAGTCGAGTCAACCCGTCAAACTGAATCGAGTCAAGTCAAATTAAATAATATGATTTTATTCAGCTATGCTAATCATTTCCTTTTTGGCAATAGCCGTTTTACAAAATTCCATTATTGTAATTTCAAAAATTTTTTGTCTTAGATTTTGTGTAATATAATTTCCAAAAAAGGAAATTCCATAAATTTGGCCGGAATTATGTTTAATTCAGCTTAACTCAACTTGACTTGATTTTATTAATTTATTAACTTAACTCGAATCGATTCAATTTGATTGTAAATTTCAATTCGACTCAACTCGACTCGACCAACTTGTAAGTCAACTTGATTCGTTTCAGAGCACTAATGAAATGTAATTAATGACCAAAGTTAAATCAAATTTAATAAATATATTGGACATAATTATTCACAATTCAGTGATTCAATTCATTCAACCTTAATTTTCTCTTTTAAATGAATATAATTTCATTTATGTAGCTTACATCTACAGATATTTAATATATCAGATTTTATCAATGATTCCTGAACATCTACATATATTAAATGAATTATTTTAAATTTATTTTAAAGATAAAAGTTGGCATCACTTTATTGAGCAAAGATCATTCAAATTGAATCACTACATGTGAAGTAATTAATGATCAAATTTAGATAAAATTCAATAAATATACTGAATGTGATTACTAAACAACTAGTGATTCAATTCACTTGATTTTAGATTCATTAGATAGATCTCGATTTTTTCTTTCAAATGAATATAAATTCATTGATATAGCTTATTTCTATGAAGAATTATCAATGATTTTATCATGAGAGTTATATTGATTTTTTAAATTTTAATGATATCTTATATTAAAAAAAAATTAAAAATTATATAATTAATTAGTTTTTTTTGCATTATCTAGTATAAATTTATTATTCTTATATAAATAATAATTTATATTTGCTTTAATAAAATTATTTTTGTGTAAAAAAATTAGATTCCAAGAATCAGCCCATATAAAAAAAAAAGAAATATTAGAAATAAAAAGCAAGAATAGTAAAAACTTACCTTTAAGGCTTTAACTATAAAGTTTACCATTTTCAATTTAGTTAAATTTACACTATGTTATAATTTTGTAAAGTAGCACATATAGAACTCGCTTTAAAAATGGCAAGTAACTTACTATTAATTGTGAAACAACTAACCTTTATATTAACAAGTAAACTATTAAGCTAGAATTATTATAAATACCATTTGAAGTCTATGATTTCTTATGATTATAATTCTTTGAAAAAAACTTTACTATATGATGATGAATAAAACTCCAATAGAGGTTTCTGTGAAAAATTTTAAATTTATTAGTAATTTTACTAGCCTATTATTTAATTGATCTAAAAAGTAATTTTACTAATTTATCTATATATAGTAAGATCTTTAAAATTCTTAATTATGAATTTTACTTTTAGTTAGATTTCTGATGACTTATATAATTAATATTTGTTAATAAAAGAAAATAAAAATTATTATTATAATAATAAATACAATACATAAGGGAAAACTATTGCAATTGAAATAATTAAAATGAATTAATTTAAATTTCACCTTAGGTGATTTTACTAATAAAAATTAATTAATTTCACCCTAGGTGAATTTAATAATTAAAAATTTAATTTAACCCTGGGTGATTTTTAAATTTTTTCACCCTAGGTGAATTTAATAATTAAAAATTTTTATTTCACCTTGGGTGATTTTCACCTTATTTTGTATTACATTTGTATTGATACAAATGCGTAAAAATTTTTTTCTTGTAAAGTTACTATTACCCCTATTAATATTAATGTGATAATTTACACGGTGATATTTTATATTTACGCCTCTTTCACCATAATGGAATTGGACTGGGAATCATTTATAAATTTTCCAAAAGATATTGAAGATGTTTTTACACCACCACCAAACTTTTTTATTGAAAGTGGTGTAAACTGTGACATAGAAGATACTATTATATCTCCTAACGATAATGTTTTTATTGAACTAGAAGTAGAACCTATAAACCCAGTTATTGATAATACAAATACTTTTAACTATTCTAATAATAATTCAAACTTTCCTATTTATCAATATAATCTTCATATTGGAGATATGTTTGATGACTGGATGTCTGTTGATAAGTTTATGTATAATTACTGTTTGGAAAGAGGATTTGGTTATCAAATATATCGAAATGATAAAGACATAAATGATCATTCTATTATCCATCGTAAATCATTTCGTTGTTCCTTAAATGGTAATTATGAAGGTCGAAAAATAATTAATCAAAATGTACATCGTTTGCGTAACTCTAACAAAACCAATTGTGAATGGCATTGTAATTTTAAATTACCAAAAACTGAACAACGTATAAGATGTACAACATTAATAGATTCCCATAATCATGAATTAAACTCAGCCCAAATAGCTCATCTTAATGCTAGATATAGACAGTTTAATGATGACATGATGCAAGACTTAGCATTTTTTACAGATTGCAAAGTTGCGCCTATTGTACAATTAGAAATTCTTAAAAAAAAATACCCAGAACATGTTTTTCACAAACAGGACGTCTATAATTCAATTTACAAGTTACATGGAAATAATAAAGATGAAAACCTTGATTCTGGTTTATTACTTAATGTTCTTTTTGAAAAAATGACTGAAGATTCAAATTGGAAGGTATTTGTTCGGCATTCTGGTAATGAAAGACGTTTATCTGGTATTTTTTGGATGTCACCATTTCAACAGGATTTGTATCAAAGATTCCATGATGTGGTGTTAAATGATAATACCTGTAAAACTAACAAATATAATATGTATTTGAGTGTCTTTATGGTGAGAGATAATTATAGAAAATTTCGAAATGTAGCTAATGCTTTGGTAGAAGATGAGATGGCGTCAACATATATTTGGATTTTGAAATGTTTAATGGAAGCAACTGATAAAACAACTCCAAAAGCATTTTGGACGGATTCAGAACCTGGTTTAATTAATGCTGCATCTCATGTTTTTCCAACAACACCACACTTTTATTGCCTTTTTCATATTTGGCAAAATATTATCAAACATCTTAAAAATAAATTAGGTGAAGCATTTCCATCTTTTAGTAAGGCATTTTATTTATGTAGAAATACATTAAGTGTTGAGTTATTTGAACAACATTGGAAAGTTATGATGAGTACATTTCCAGAAAGCTGTTCATATATGACTAAAGTATTATATTCTAATCGTTCTAGTTGGGCCAAATCGTATTCACCATTTCAATTCAATGCGGGTATCCAAAGTACTCAAAGCGTTGAATCATTTAATGGTATTATTAAAAAGGCAGTAAATAGTACTAGTTCTCTTTGTGATGTTGAAAAAGCAATCAATAAAAGACATGATGATGAATCTCAATATTGTAAATTAGTTGACCTTAAGGCACAACAAACAACGGTTGGATTACCACATTTAGCTTCACAATTTTTCTTTAATATTGATGCAATTCTTAATCATTTTTTAACGCCTCTTGTATTATCCTGTCAAAGATTTCAAATTTCTCAATCACTTACTTATGAAGGTCAACTAGTTTTATCATTTGATAATGTAAGTATTAAATTTATTTTTTGAATTACATAGTATTTTATTATTGTTAATTAAGTTTATTTATTATATTATTATACATAATATATAGGTTTTAGAATCTGATACTGTTGATAATTATTTTATAGAAGATGTAGTTGATGAACCACAAATAATATTACAATCTTTTTTAAATGGTATTGATTCTATAAATA